AGAACAGATACAAAATGAGATGCATGTGAAGGTAGAAAATGTAACAATAAGAACAGATACAAAATGAGATACTTGTGAAGATAGAAAATGTAACAATAAGAACAGATAGAAAATGAGATGCATGTGAAGATAGAAAATGTAACAATAAGAACAGATACAAAATGAGATACATGTGAAGATAGAAAATGTAACAATAAGTACAGATACAAACTGAGATGCATGTGAAGATAGAAAATCGATAACAATAACAGATGAAGGTTTCTTCTTGATGATTCCGTTTCACAAATAGCAAGAGTATTCATATACAGAAAAGAGGAACCTAACAGAAGCGCACTATTTGACGAATAAAACATTCTTTTTAAAAAGAGTAGTATCAAGGTACAGATTTACCCATCGAAGTTGAACCAAACTAATATGTTCACATATTTTTGGCGTTGGTTTCATCTCAAGCGTCGCATTATGGCTCACAAAGAAAGAAGCATTACAAATAGTCTGGAGTGTTCCAATTTATGCACTAGTCACACTTACCATGAGAAAAAACTTGTCGATCGACACTGCCCATTGCCCCGTACGTGATTAGGAGAGTTTTTCGCACCGACTCTCTAGGATCCATTTGATAGTATGTGAGGAGTGTATCGGTATACTCGTAACTGCAAGACAGGAAAGAAAGTACAGTTGTTGGTGAGTGAGGTTTGATCGAGACCAGGTAGAACACCGAGGCATGAGACGTACCGCCAATGAACAATTTGTGCAATGTGTCGTAGTACCTCTACACAGCTGTAGCAGATAGTACTCACAGACACTTTGGGTGTTAGACAGTACGATGTGGTAGTTGGGTGTTTAACAGTACAGTACGATGTGGTAGTTGGGTGTTTAACAGTACAGTACGATGTGGTAGTTGGGTGTTTAGCAGTACGATGTGGTAGTTGAGTGTTAAACAGTACTATGTGGTAGCTGGGTGTGTAACAGTACGATGTGGTAGTTAAGTGTTTCCTATCCGACGAGTGAGCACGTAGAAACTACTTCATAGCGAAAGCATACTCATGGATCCCCAAATCCATTTGATGAACATATTGAAACAGTTATCCGCACGTTTGTACAAGGGAGTGGCAAGTACTGAATAGCTACCAGCTCGACCAGATCATCGTACAGATGAAGGCGCACGTTGGCAACGTCGTAATTTATCAACGTTGTACGTTGACATGTGGACGCATGTCTCAGGCGCTGACGAGTATTCTTTGCCGTAAAATTAAAAGCAAACTGAACCCCCTGAGATAATCAGAGCACACTAGCTCACAATGCATCAAATTGAGCTTTTTTCTTTCGGTATGGTAAGCGAATCTTCTGTAAGTGCTCGTGCCGTGGAGGATAAGCGAGCTTGCGCGTAGGCGAAAGGCTGTTGCACGTATACACTCATGCACAGGTAAATCTACACACCAAAAACCGTGGCACACATGCACACTCGAATGCACATTTCTATACAGATGGACAACACTTGGAGACACATATACACTTTCTACAGAAATTGGACGAACACATACTTTTGAAAACTGATAGCTCGACGACAGATTTTGGTGTCTGCATCGCTTAAAAGTTCTTGCATCTCTTCTAATTTGCCGGTTAGCCAGTCAGAATCATCTGCTGTTGACCAGTTGACATTCTGAGCGTCCCTCATGTGGCTAAGAGTGAGCATATAAGAAGAAGCTAAATGAGCCCGTATTGTTTTTCTGTCCGCAGTTTATCATGCATAAGGGTGTGTGCGGCGGGTATATGAATATGCTGCTTGAAAGTCAAAGAAACGGGTTAAACCGTACAGCTGAACCTAACATACTTGTAGAGCTCTTTCAGCAAGGATTTGAATTCATCCATATCAACGTTCACGGAAGACTTCCTTCTACTGCTTGGTGCAAAATTCAGTGTATCTCCGATCTGAAACATGCCAAAAGAATAAATTAAAAGAGCAAATCTAGTTGAGCTCAGAGCAGGGCTATTGATAGTATGTATTAAGTGACTGATCATCTCGGTGAGCAACACAACGTTATCTGATCGTTCTCGTAAAATGAATAACAAGAAGGTACCCAAATGGCTCGCTAACAACCCTCGGTTACTTCAATCAACGGATTGAATGCTACAATCTAACCAACTCGGAGCACGGTCTGCGTACCTTCACACCACCAATGACCCGATAGAATACATCAGACCTAGCCATACTAAAGTAGGCTACATGACGATTGCGCGATGCACACAGTGGAGTACGCAGTGTACATAGTCGTAAACAATTACAACCGGTGCATACTGTAACATACTTGAACATTTCGAATAAGACGACACGTAAACACATTCAATATATGGACCCTACGATTGTCACATCGCAAAAAGACTTGACACTACGCGCAACGTTTGCACGCGGAACATATCGCATTTGACGCATCGCATGCAACCACTTTCATGATATGGGACGCGACACAGAATCAGCGCTTTAAACATACGCGACAACTACATATATACAATCATTTCATCCAGGAGAAGTTTATGCGAGGCGACACAGAACAAACGCTGTAAACAAGACAGACAACATACGTGTATACGGCCTTTCATGTCTGGGGGAAGTTTGGACTCCAGAGTGTCCAACACACTCTTGACTGCTGCCACGCATTCCGTATACGATGCACCAGAAGCCTCTCGCGCCTTCATGGCAAACTCGTCGATGTTCACAGTCGCGTTTTGTATGGGTGCTGTACAAGTAGTGGTTCATTAGACTGTACTCGCGGCATGTTTGTAATGAACAGCCTTCACGTTTTCAGTGATACAGCTTGGTATCCGTGCGCTTGGTGACTCTGAAAATACAAACACAGGCCTTAAGAATCGCAATATATATATATATAAAATTGCATCTTTTGCACACTCTGTTGCGTTTATAAGAGCTCAGATTTGCCCACAGAATCACTTGTATGCGGCACATGTAAGACGATTTCAGCACAGCAGGATATCTGGAGATGGCCCCCGCGAGTATAGGATAAGATAACATCAAGGCAGTGATTCTCTCGCATTCTAGACAATATAAGTCAGCAGCTTTAATGCTCGATCTTCGGCGTGTACGTGCGTGGATGTGTATATGGACTCGCGGATGAGATACGTCATTGACACCTATGGTAGGTAGCATAATACATTTTCTTGTCGAAGTGTACATGTAAACGCAACAATATCAAAGACTAAGCACACATCCGATTTCAAAAGTCTCTTTCGCTATCCCCAGTGACAATGCGCACTACAAAACGGCAAACACACAACGATAAGGTTCCCAGGTACGAATTGTGTACCTTCGCCCAGCCCTCGGGGACAAGCGTGCATATGACTAGCCATGCAACACAGACAAACATCGTGAAGAAAGGTGCACAATCCAGGCTGATACAGGAATATTTAGTAGATTAATTTCCTTACCCGATGTCTACCTGCACTCATCTCCAAGTATCTACCTTTGAAAAGACTTCCGCATCCTATATAAACACACACACGGACGAACAAGGAATACTTACGTGCGGGAGCCAATTTTGGTATTGAATTTTGGCTCTGTAACCTCGAAAGGCTTGCAGGATCAGGAGATAACGTGCCCGACGGCATGGAAGATAGTCTACTAAGACTGCTTACAGACTTGATTTTTTGCAGCGCCAGTTGCGATTTATGAGAGAGACTGACGAATTTGACGGGAATCAGCCCCTTCTCACCCGACGCATTCGAGCCAAAATACCAGTCATCGCTGACCTGTGTAAGGTGTCGTACAAGAAGGGTTATTCAATACTTTTGAATGCTGACGAGAAGTATCCGCATCCTGAGTTGATCATGGCCTATACATGACATGTAGGCGGACAAAACTATCACGAGCAGGCAAAGTGCTCTGACTATCCAGTAATTGTAGGCGTTTACTTCATTGTAAGTTTTTAAATATAGTGTTATAAAGCTTATCATTAACATTGAACTCACGATTGTATCTCACAACAGCTTAAAAATAAACGTGACGCGTGTAGCAGGTTTTAGACTAACCTTTTTGAGAATCGTCAACACACTACCCTTCTCGAACGGCAGCTGCCTCAACTTGACAGGCTCTGGTTTCGGACGGTGAGAGAACTTGGCGATGCACCTTCCCGTCCCACTGGGGTCAGCTGCGGGTACTTCCGGTGCGGGTCCTTTTCCAGAAGAGACATTCACGATTGGTCTTCCCTAGATGTACACATTGATAAATTGAAGACAGCGAGCAACAATTCAGTTGGTGGAACTTACACTCGGTTCAACAACTTTGAGCCCAATATATACAAATAAATATCACACATACATCTATATATATATTGTACTTATACATATATATTTGTATATTTG